CGACGGGCCGTCAGCACCCCCCGGGGCCCGTCAGCACCCCTGGGCTCACCCGGGGTCTGCCAGCACCAACTTCGGGCCTCCAGTTTAGCAGCCGGGTGATTTCTCTCCAGGCACGGAGGCCACAACCCTCCCGCAGCGCTGACCGTGGTCGGTGAGACCCCCAAAGGTGGCGGTGCCAAGGCCATGCTGGGTGGGAGATCCGGCTTTGTGTGGGGCTCGGGACAGCCATGGCCAGGGGCAGGATTTTCGGTGAGGCGCAGCTCTCCGGTGGGAGAGCTGTGTGAATACCAGAGGCCAGGCGGTGCGCCGGCATGTTTGAAATGGACGCACCGTTGGGAATTGACACCTAGCTACGCTCGGGTTTATTTATGGGAAAAACCTTCGTGTTTTGAATAACTGCACCGTAAATATGTAAATCATAAGTGCCGTCTTTACTCCCGTGACACGTAGGGAAGGTAGAAGACTGAGCAGACCCATAGTTACGCAACAAGAGCAGGGTTTGTCCCAGAATTAGAAGCCAGCAGGGTTTCAGTTAAAGGCCCTCCGATCCTCTGTAAAAATCCTGAGTAGAGAGGTAAATTTTAATAAGTTCCAAGGCAGGATGAGGTCCTAAAAAAGAAAACAATGTGTTTCAGAGAGATAAATTGCACGTATACTTCTTAATTTTTAAATAATTTTGTTAAAAACTAATTTACATGTACATATATAGAAATTATTTTTCAGCCATGAATCATTGTGGAAAAATAAAATTTCACAAGAATTACTATTGTTAGGACCGGAAAATATATCACTGCCACATCTTGATTCCTGCGAGCCCTCTCAGAGATCGTTTCTTCTGCGAAGGCCTGAGGTCACCAAAGCCACACATCAACAAGCCCTAAACATGTCCTACTAGCGAAAGGACAGTCCCAGCTTCTCCGCTGTAGAGAGACCACCCTGGGATGGCCACGTGGCAAGTGAGATCAGGGAACCGGTCTGGGTGAAAATTAACCTGGCGAAATAAACAAATAAATAAGCAAGCAGCGGGAGTTTGTGGTGGAAGGGGGTTGTAGTCGGTGCTCGTGGGCGCTGCTGGTTGCACGACGTCGTCGTGACGGTGGCACAGCTTTCCCCGCTTCGAAGCACAGCTGGATTCTGTCTCCAGCGAGCAAAGCCTGGCTGTGTCTCATAGTGCTACCCTGTAGAGTCACCAAACCGTGTGGTGTTCCTGCTGCTCTTTAAGAATTCACTTCCTGGAGTCGCAGGAAGAGAAGTAGTGCTGACACATAGCTTTTTAAAAAAAAAAAAACTTTAATCCTTTTTCTTATACAAAAAAGTTTGAACGCATGACCTTGGAAGCAGACACAGAGAATTTATTGTCGCCTAATAGTCTACTGTTTTGGAGCCCGTTTAAGGCTTACAGTAATTCATATTGCATATTCTTACCATAACACTGTTACACAATGTCTCATCCTGGAAAAGTTACAAATCTTCAACAATTGTCTAAAATTTTTGGTCACGTGTTGCAAATAGAGCATCTGCAGCTTCCTGAGAAGAGCGAATTGGGTCATTCCAGCTTTTCCCTTTCATTGCCACAAATCAATATATGCAGTTGGCTGAGGAAGCACATGGCTAAAATCTTGGCTTGCTCTTTTCTTTTTTCTTTTTTTTTCCTTCCCATTCATTTTTAGAAAAACACAGCTTTCCATTTGTCTCTTCTGGGGATTTCTGATCGTTCCATGTTTTTGTCTTTTTCTGCTTTGTTAAAGAAAAATAAAATCATTGTTATGGCACATAAAGCAATTGTGATTATATAGCTGCTCTAATGTCTAATAACTTTTGTGAAACTAGGAAAGCATTTTGGTGCTCAGCACCTAAGTGCATAGCTTTAGGCACCCACTGGTTTAAAGTTTGCCAGAAATTCTTCTTGTGAAAAGCTCCACAGAATATAGATTTCATGACTTGAATCGTGGTGCTCTAGGAGGGCAGTCCTTTCTCTCCCTATTAGGTCCTGGAAAATGTGGTCACGTGAAGAGCTCAGTGAGCCAGCATCGTTTAACATTAGCATAATTAGAGTGGCTTGCGGTTTTTTTACTGGTGTGCTTTTAATCACGGAATTAAGGTTATTTGAACCCGGTTCTTGTGCATTAGTGAGCTGCAGAGGTTAAAAAGTGCCTCTGATGCTGTGTGTAGACGGTAGGGAGTTAATTCACTGTGGGGCAGGGCGTTCATTTCTGGATGTCGGAGGGTTGACACTGGTGAGCGAACATGTTGTGACATCCAGCTGCATGCAACCAGGGGAGGTTTGAAGACCACCTTCTGGTTTCCAGCAGCGTTGAAAAGCCTAGGGCAGGGCACATGGACCAAATTCAACCCTGCTGCCATTACAGTTAAAGTGTTAATGTGCTTTCTGCTTAAATGAGGATTAAATCTCATCTCTGTATCACTAGTGGCTCTTCTGAAATAAAAAATAAGCAGGCTGGTAAAGGGACAAACATTGACATAATTCAGTGGATTCCTGTGAGAAGGGGTTTTGGCCACTTGGCTGCGACGAGGAAAACATCAAAGCTCCCAGAAATTAAGACGCTTCCGTACGGGGTGTGATGAAAGACTTTGCTTCTCAAAAGTTTCTTCCCCTAGTTTTCAGAGCACATACTACTTGGAAATGTAGTCTAATAAAAGCTTTTAAAAAATGGAAGTTAGTCTAAAGATTTCTGACAATTTTCCTGTTTGTTTAGATAAGTCTTTGCATTAGCTGAATCATCACGGTACAAGATGGAATGCTAAACTGTGGATATTCTAACACGCATTTTCTTCTGCATGTCATGTGTCCTATAACATGAGACAATAGTTTGTTCTGCATGTAAATGCATCACCGTATGTTAGCTAATCTTTGTGGTGTAAAATTCCGTTGTCTTTTATTAAGAACAAGCAGTCAGTGTAGCAGCAAGGTGAAAACCCATTTAACAGTTTCTCCTCTGAGTTTTAGGTCAGCAAATTAATATACACCTTTAGGAACTCAGAATTATATGCAACTGACCTTTAACCTATTAGTTAAAACATCATAAAATACAACTTTTCAAATGATTCATTTATGAGTTAATGTAGCATAATGCAAACCAGAAATCCCAGTAAACTTGCAGCAGTTATTTCAGCCTGTGTAGGGGAACCGCTTGTAAAATCCTATGACTTGTGTTTTCTAACAATATAACAGTTGCAATTTCCCAGAAAGTCAGATGATGCGTTTCCGAAAGTTGATGCTTAAAGTAGAATAATTTCCTGAAAGAGATTGGGTCATTCAGCTTTCAGGATCTGAAGTAAAATCTATATAAAGCAGTCATTTAAGGGGACAAAGCAGTAATCACTTATCACAGAACTGAATTTTTAAAGGTCACAGCACAATGTGATGTCCTAAGTGAGCTGAACATACAAACGTAAGCACGGCAGCGGTGTGAATGGATTCAGTACTCATTTAGATAAATCACTCCCGTGTGCAGGAATCTGCCTTTTTAGCTGTGTGTTCGTTTGGATAACATGGTGGGCAGACCCCGACTTGTGCTGGCTCCAGTGGAGGAAGGCCCGCATCACGTCAGTACGGGGGAGATTTCTGGGAAGTCGTAGCACAGCCAAGACCCCACAGACAAAAGAGAAAATGATGACCTTGAAAATAATGTCTCTGCGCTCTCTGCCCTGAGGAGGAAAGCCTGCCTACTTGTCACAGCCCCTCTTGGCTGTATGCGGTCTTGTTGCTGTAGAGAGCTATTGGAGAAGTTACTATTTCAGGCACCTATTGCATATAAGCAATACAGGTAAGGGGCAGCACATTTCCAGTCTAAAATAGAATAGTCTAAATTATTAATATGCGTTTACGCTACAGGCAGGCATGCTATCCCTGAGTTGCACAGCCCATGCATTTTGTTTCTCCCCTCTTGGGAGCAGCGTGGTACTTCCAGGGAGTAACGGGGTCACGCCAACAGCGACGGCCCCGCAGCAGGCATTGCCCCTGCTTCTTCGATGCACGGGGCAGGGGAGCAGAAGCAAAGCGCGCAGTATTGGTCTTTGGTCGTGTTTTCTGCACTTGCTTCTGGGCTGCCAGCTGCCCAGGCATGGGCTGTTGGCTAACGGGAGCCCACGAAGCAGCGGCAGGACATGACCTCTGCGCATTTTCTGCTGGAGCGAGTCGCTGGGGCACGGATCGTGTTAAGGGGAGGATGCTGAGCAGTACTGTCCCCAGAGAGCTTTGCCTTGGAAAGGAAGAGGCTTCCTGAAATTCTCCAAGACACAAAAGCTGCAGGTCCACTGCTGCGCCCTCCGAGGAGGGACATTTGCCCACACCCCGTGCGTCCGCTTGCTGGCGCCTCTTCCGGATGTCAGGCATGCCCAAGGCCTGAGCACCACCCAAAGGACAGAGGAAAAGCTCAGCAAGGTCTCAAGCCCAAATAGAGCCACGTGCCTGCGCAGGGATGCCTCTCCTGCCCCAGGGCCGTCCATTTGCTGCAGGGGGAGAGTGACCTCGCGAGAGACCAGGGCAGCGCTCTTACGATCCTTTTAGAGACCACTCCATGGCAGCAGGCGCTGGCCTGGTGCTGGCTCCTGGAAGCCACAACCTGCTGGTCCTTGTGCCTTACACACTCGGCTTGCCATGGACAACTGGCCCAAGACCTGAGGGTACAAGCACATGTCCCACATTGCCCTCGTTCAATCTCTAAATTTCTTTCTGATGCATTGTGTGAGAGCGTAGCAGTCCTGAGGAGTGAAGGCTAGCTATGGGTCTCAGGGGTTTGCTTATCATCTTGAAGACATGCTTACTTTCTAAATTTCACATCAGAAAGATGACACAAATCACATTTCGATGGTCAGAGAGCAGTGACTTACCATAGCATATAACAAAATGTATCAAACAGAATCATAAAGTAATAAAAAACCAGGATGTGCCTCATTTGCTTTAATCTTTTGACTTCAGTGGGCCAGGAGAAGCAGGAGTTGGCCTGCGTTTCTGTGCTCTTAATGCATTAAGGTCCCTAGTCACAGTCGGGTGGAATCTCTGTCCTGTTTTCTTCCCTGCCCTAAGCAAGGGCAGGCGGTGGTAAGAAATTTCTGCCTGTTGCTGCAGAGTTTGTGGAAAGGTGAAACCTGCCACTGCAGCTGTAAATACGGCTGCCTGAATTTCACTAGACTTGATGAACAGGCAAGGTTACTTTTCCTG